ATTTACGATTTAAAGTACTCTTAAAATTGTTTTATGAGTTCTATCCTGTGTCAACATAGGTTCTATCTTGTATCACGATTTAAGTACTTTTTATATTGTTTAATGAGAGGTTCTATCTTGTGTCAACCTAGGTTCTATCCTGTGTCAACATAGGTTCTATCTTGTATCACGATTTAAAGTACTTTTTATATTGTTTTATGAGAGGTTCTATGTTGTGTCAACCTAGGTTCTATCCTGTGTCAACATAGGTTCTATCTTGTGTCACGATTTAAACTCCTCGTTAAACTATTTTATAAAGGGTTCTTTCTCGTGTCTACCTAGGTTCTATCCTGTGTCAACATAGGTTCTATCTTGTGTCACTATTTCAAGTTCTCGTTAAATTGTTTTATGAAAAGTTCTATCTTGTGTCAACCTAGGTTCTATCCTGTGTCAACATAGGTCCTATCTTGTGTCACGATTTAAAGTACTCGTTAAATTGTTTTATGAAAGGTTGTATCTTGTGTCATTCTAGGTTCTATCCTGTGTCAAAATAGGTTTTATCTTGTATCACGATTTAAAGTACTCGTTAAATTGTTTTATGAAGGTTTTATATTGTGTCAACCTAGGTTCTATCCTGTGTCAACATAGATTCTATCTTGTGTCACGGTTGAAAGTACTCGTCCAATTGTATTATGAAAAGTTGTTTGCTGTGTCAACCTCGGTTCTGTCCTGTGTCAACATAGGCTCTGTCTTGTGTCACGGTTTAAAGTACTAGTTAAATTGTTTTTTTGAAAGGTTCTATCTTGTGTCAATCTAGGTTCTATCCTGTGTCAACATAAGTTCTATCTTGTATCACGATTTAAAGTACTCGTTAAATTGTTTTATGAAGGTTCTAAATTGTGTCAACCTAGGTTCTATCCTGTGTCAACATAGATTCTATCTTGTGTCACGGTTGAAAGTACTCGTCCAATTGTATTATGAAAAGTTGTTTGCTGTGTCAACCTCGGTTCTGTCCTGTGTCAACATAGGCTCTGTCTTGTGTCACGGTTTAAAGTACTAGTTAAATTGTTTTTTTGAAAGGTTTTATCTTGTGTCAATCTAGGTTCTATCCTGTGTCAACATAAGTTCTATCTTGTATCACGATTTAAAGTACTCGTTAAATTGTTTTATGAAGGTTCTAAATTGTGTCAACCTAGGTTCTATCCTGTTTCAACATAGACTCTATCTTGTGTCACGGTTGAAAGTACTCGTTCAATTGTTTCATGAAAAGTTGTTTGCTGTGTCAACCTCGGTTCTGTCCTGTGTCAACATAGGCTCTGTCTTGTGTCACGGTTTAAAGTACTAGTTAAATTGTTTTTTGAAAGGTTCTATCTTTTGTCAACCTAGGTTCTATCCTGTGTCAACATAAGTTCTATCTTGTATCACGATTTAAAGTACTCGTTAAATTGTTTTCTGAAGGTTCTAAATTGTGTCAACCTAGGTTCTATCCTGTTTCAACATAGATTCTATCTTGTGTCACGGTTGAAAGTACTCGTTCAATTGTTTCATGAAAAGTTGTTTGCTGTGTCAACCTCGGTTCTGTCCTGTGTCAACATAGGCTCTGTCTTGTGTCACGGTTTAAAGTACTAGTTAAATTGTTTTTTTGAAAGGTTCTATCTTTTGTCAACCTAGGTTCTATCCTGTGTCAACATAGGATCTTGATCTACAATTCAATTTACTTATAAAATTGTTTCACGAAAGGTTCTATCTTTTGTGAACCTGTGTTCTATCCTGTGTCAGTGTAGGTTCTCTCTTGTGTCGCCGTTTAAAGTAGCTTTGTGAACGGTTCTATCTTTTGTCAACCTAGGTTCTATCCTGTGTAAACATAGGTTCTATATTGTGTCACACTTAAAGGCACCTTCAAAAACGTTTCATGAAAAGAATAACAAACTGTAATCGACTTTTTATAGAACAGTTTAAATTATGAAGATCAGTAAAGTTAGATTATTTATTTTTATAGGATAGTTTAAATTATGAAGATTAGTAAAATGGTTAAATACTTACTTTTTACAAAGCTGATGAAGATAAGTTCTATGCATACATATCTTTTTATCATCGTGTTAATGTGTGGCCGGTTTTCAGAAATGAAATTTTAAAATATTCAACAAATCTCCTCATCTGACTGACACTTTTTCAAATCTTCATATACATACGACTGTGTATACACTATTACTGTGACCTACTTATAATCTGATCAGCTATACGTTAATAATGATGTGCAATAAATGCTCATCAGCGCATTAATGGACATTAGCATAGATTTTCATAAATGGTATGTTGTGTATTTACATAAATATGGTAAATGAAACTATTTATTGGATGCGTTCAGTCGATGATATAACTAATTTATTTTCACCACAAATACGCCAACACATTAATCTTAGTTTAATAAATCCCCATTGATGTAATTCATTTATGTGTAAATGCCATTTTGTATATTTTAATGCATTTACCTCATTTATTGGTTAAATTGCAAGTAAGCATTTACAGGATTTGAACAGATTTATCCTTTTTGACCCAGTGTAATATAATATAATACATATACTTTATACGTGTAGATTGTGATGTGAATCTAGTGAATAAAATCAACCTGCGGGTAAGAATAGCTTACAATAAAGTAAAATGAAATGCAAAGACAGGATTTACACTTCTTTGAGATAATCTAAACGTTTTTTATGAATATGATTATGAATAATTCTAACATCTGGTCATGAGACTACTAATTTTTTCGTGCACTACTCTTACTTTAAATCACATTACTTTATGCCTCGTTTTCACAAAAATGTCAGTAACCCATTGTGTTGAATGGCGACTTCTGAGTTATTGAATAATGAAAAAATGAATGTCAGAAAATTACACTGCATGGTCAATGTTAGTATGCCTATACAATTTTGTTCATTACTTTTGAACACCCCTCGTATTTGACTTCAATTAATGCATGTGAGCGGGTTCGAAACATGTGTATTTTCTTGATATAGAGTGCAATTCTTAGTCAGGTATATTTAAAGGTTTCATTCTTCAAGTTTATTAAACATGCCATCCTCCCATTTATGTATCATTGACCGCCCTGATGAGTCTGGTGAACGCATAATTTATCTCATCGAAAATGACAGCAGAATTCATTAGCATTACTTATTTTCTGCTATATTCACATTTTGCTAATGGATTACTTCTTTCAGTTATTCAGTTGGGAAATACAAAATTAATGTCATTGCTTTTTGAGATATTTTAGATCGAATTAATCCAAGAAGCCTAGTAAGAAGCATACGATTATCGGATGATTTGAACGATGAACATACATTTGGATTTCGCTCATCGCATGGTTTCGCAGCATCAAGCACATGGGATGATGATTTTTTCCCCAAAATTCATCCAATTTATCATAAATTTTCGACTTTTTATAATTCAGTAAAATTGGAAAAATCTAGAGGCATTGGGAATGAAGTCAAGTTAAGTACTTTTCTTGCAGGTAATGTAAATAAAAATTTAAACAAAAGAGGCTTTACACATATTTCAACGAGGGAGCTAAGGTTGCCAAACGTTTGGAGGGGAGTGTATATGCGTGGTGTGAACTTAAGAAGAACTGATAAAACGTCATAAAATAAAGGTCTTTTGAAAATAGTCACAAAGCACAACATCATTTCTTATGAAGCATGACGACCATCCCCTGCGACATCGCCTTATTCAAACGACCATTTTAAAAGTTAATAAAACACATACAATAAACTTTAATATAACATTTAAATGTGTATGGGGTAAACTCGTCAAACTAACAAAATTGGCAGAGGAATTAATGCTTAAGCTTAAGGACTGAAACAAAACTGAGGCTTTCAAATTGTCATTACAGGAAAATAGCCTAAGCTAAGTGGCATCTCATTTTGAAGAAAATTGCTTTTAAAGAGAAAGGCGATTAATAACTCATGAACGTATTATCCCTTTATAAAAGGTTCCAGTGTTTTCCTCTGGAATGTAAAAATGGGCTATTACATTTAGGAAATTAGCTCCATTCTCTTTTTATTAAAATTATGTAAATGGATTAAACAGAAGATGGCTATCGTATCTACTATGATACTATAGTATCATAGATGTTGACTATGGATGGATTTTATCTATCCCACATCATTTGAGACTGAATACTCTATCTTTTATGAGTACTAGTATCTACAACTATGTTTGATGTTATGAGTATTTGCTATCAATTTTTTCAATTTTTCTTCAACATGTATTGTAATGACTTCAGTATGAATGAAATGTCCCTTGGTGTTCTGGTCCTGGATTGTGATATTGGTTCTCGATTGGAGGGGGGGGGGAATATTAGACATTGTTTCTTTTCACGTTAGATCATGGTTTTGGGATATATAGGGTCTACTTTTCTTATGACAGATTTACACTTATAGTTTGCTTTCTTGTTGGGCTTCTTTAAAGTTTTTAGTCACCCTTCCCTTTGGCATTTGTGCTTATATATCAGTATATAATAATCTTGTATAACACTGATCGATGCAAGTGATGATCTTTTTGATCCACATAGCTCTGACATTGTTCAAGATATTTTACAATTTGTCTTCTTTCCTTCTCTGTTGTTCATTCATATTGATATTGATTTTCGTCTATTCTATATCTCTGTCCTATGAATTGCGTAATTAGAATGTTACAATGTTAGAATGCTTTACCAGTTAAAATAATACATCAGTTAATTATAATTATCCAATGTAATTTCCCAAACCACTTGTAGCGCCAAACTGAAAAGTGGCAACAAAAGAGGTGACATATGCATAATAGGCGCCCATCATGAAATGTTACGTCCGTGATTTATTAACTGAGAATTGTTCAATGATACAGCAGCATTAACAAAGTCCATGTATAACAGACAAATTAGTTTACAGAGGAAACATTTTCAAGCTCAGAAGGTCAGACGGGAAGAAGACCCACATAATCTGTACGCCTTGATTAGCAACTCTTTAATTCCATTTACAGGAGGAAATTGAACAGTTAGCGAGGAAATAGGTGTTTATGATGGCTTGCACTTCAGTATTGTCTGCAGTTGAAGTAGCCGTTCAGCCGATTGCGAGATTATGAGTTGGAAATCCTATTAACGCGACAGCAAGCAAAGTAAACGAAATAAAGCACATCTTTTGAGGTGTCTATAACTGACAATGACAAGGGAAAACAATGAAATATCAGCAAACGTATCATTTATTAAGAAATCAAATCAACATAAACATCATTAAAGCTTCAAATATTTTTCGGTTAAGTTTTTTTTGGAGACGTGTCCATTTCAGAAATAAACCAATGCAAATGTATTGTTTCTACACTGAGGGTAACTAACGCATCTTCTTGAGCATCTTCACCAGAAAGAAAAAAATCTAGAATACAGGAACAGCAACTTTCAAATATGTAATACGTATTCAACAACGTTTAGAGGTTAGCTTGACAGTTTTACACCTAAGTACCATTTGAACGAAAGGTATACATGTTTCGCACGTATGTTATTATAAGTATGCAATTCTATTTTCAGTGTATGCATTTAACGGTAAAGGTTTATTAGACTAGCCTAGTTGTATACCAGGGTTCACAAATGGCTTATCGCGAAGATATTTCCAATATAACAATAGGAGATGCTGGGAGCGGAGCTAGTCTTATAACGGATAGAGACAGCTGGAATTTCACTTTAATATCTAACACTCATTCAGACAGTATGGAAGTTTCTAGGACGATTCGTTGGATTTGTACAGCTACGCCTCTTAGTATTATCGGACTTGTTGTCAACACTTTCGCCATTCTCTCGATCAAGTTTATAAGCGGACAATTAAACTCTGTACATATACTGATGATCCATCTTGCTGTCAGCGATATCTTGGGTGCGATTATATGCTCACTGGTTGCTGTTTTAGAGGTAGCGCAGCATATAAATAAGGACTTCTACTCCATATGCTTCCATAACATCATTACATTGATGCACATTTTTATCTACACGCTTTGCACGTTGACTCTATTGGCGGTAACGTTATTCCGCTTCATAACGATTCGATTCCCGATGGCAGCGTGCAAATGTTTGGAGGTATCGAAGGGCTTAATGGCGATCGCCGCAATTTGGCTCTTTTCATTGGCTATTTGTATGCCGGGAGTTGTGTCTTTGTGGAATAGTGAACGTGATTGTTTCCTTAAGGGCTGGACGCTCCTTACAATGAAATATCTCCACCAGATTTGGCGTGTTCTGATTATATGCATCATATTGGTAATTGTTGGGCTCTATGTTTGGGTTTACAGAGAAGCGCGCAGGTGTAGAATCCGAATTAACAATTTACAAGTTGGTAAAAAGATTGAAGAAAGTTACAAAGCATTGAAGACTACAATGATTTTAACCTGTACTCTCGTTATCGCAATTATTCCAACATTTATATATTTCCTAGTTACGCATTACAAAGAGGTTCCAAATTCTTTTCCGAGGGATATCATAGAAAATTTACCTCTCCTGAATTTCATAAGCGATCCGATTATATATGGGTTCAGAACCAAGGATGTAAGAAACGGTTTTAAAAAGTTAATACGACATTGTTGTCGCTGTAGGCAAACATTTCGAACACGTGGAAGTACATTCTCAATGACAAATATGACCGTTTATTCTAAAGCGCCAACTTGGCTTTCAAAGTCATCCACATGTGACCTACCCGTAGATCTGGACGGTCAAAGACCGCGACAGTCGCAGTACCCGAATGAAGAGAAATTAAGACTTTCAAATGATCATGATTAAGCCATGGTGTACTTCTTTAAACCACACTCTATAAGCAACAGCGTAAGGATCATAAAATAAGCAATCATAAACAATATACAAGTGAACAGTTTTTTAAGGTTATAGGCTTACACACGAATACACGCTCGGTGGTCGTACAAAATGGATGGAGGGGGATTAGACGATTTCTGCAAGAAAACTCAACAAATTTGGAAGATTTATTTTTTCAAGAAAAAAATTACAACTGAATTGCCAAATGAATAGGCACAGTGCATGGCAAAATATTGTCATCTAGTATTTTTTTTGAACCGATACCCTTCTAATGTATGAGAGCTATTAAAAAGGCGCATCATAACCAACGTGAAAAAGTCAATGTTTTTGCTATAAATCGGGCAACAATGGTCTACACGACCTGTAATAAATAGGTACAAGGGACTTTATTATCACGTTACGAATGACAATGCTCACGTTTTAAAGTTTCCATGCATTATACAAAAAAATAATCGAAATGAATTAATATTGGATGGAGGGGGGAGTGGATGGAGGGGGGGGGTTATATGTCTTTATGATGGAATAAATTCACAAGAACTCGTGTATTTGAAAAAATTTAACTCAGTACCCCAGTAAGAAACTGGATATTATATCTCTGGAGAATGAAAAATGGGAAAATTTGGAATCATAAGAATAAATTCAAGTAGCATGCCTTATCATGTCTTATATACACGTTATCCCCCCCCCTCCATCCAATAATAATTCATTTCGATTATTTAAGAAATATAGACCGAAGAGCAGGGGTAAAAGTTTCGAATACACCCCGCTGGTCTCGGCACAACATAAGGGTTGTATTCGAAACTAGTACCCCTGCTCTGAGGTCTATATTACGATTCGAACATGAAAACTCACTAGAATAATGCAAAATCGTCAATTTCGTTGTGGATTTCCAATTTTTTCATTTCTACTTCCGGTTGAGAGTTTGGCTGTTCCAATCTGTTAACTTACCTCTTGACCCCGACTTAAGTTCTTTTTATTGACATTTCGGCCTATTTTATTGGTTTTATTCACGCATATCTACTACATTGATAATTATTGAAATTAATTCTACCTGTATATTGCCCAGAATCAAAAAGACCACGGCGGAATTCTATATAACGGAGTAATCACTGCCGGAAAAGAACGGAACAGCCTGAACTCCATTGAGTGCACTGAACGAAACACTTAGCACAGAGCCGAGGATTTGATCTCCAATATAACCCAGCTGAAGCATTGACTTTGTTTACAGTTTATAGAAGGCGTGAATACAGTCATGTTCGAATTGTTGTACAACGCATGGAAACTAACTTTAAAAAGTGAGCAATGTCATTAGTATTGTGATAATAAAGTCCCTTATACCTATTTATTACAGGGTCGTGTAGACCATTGTTGCCCGATTTATAGCAAAAACATTGACCTTTTCACGTTGGTGATGATGCGCCTTTTTTAATAGATCTCGATCTAAAGGCCCCCTCACATATGAACGAATCCACCAAACGTAGTCTTGCGATGTCAATTCTAGCGATTGGGAACGTAAACATGCTTACTGAAGCACATCTTTGTGCATGCTTCCGAAGCTTTTCGAGGGGAAACTTACACATACGAACACCCCAACGATGTACAACGCACACATACTAATGGGAACGGATTTTACTCAATTCCTATTCGCAAGACTGCGTTTAGTGGATTCGTTCATATGTGAGGGGGGCTTTAGAAGGGTATCAGTTCAAAAAATACTAGATGACCTAACATATTTTGCCATGCACTGCGCCTATTCATTTGGCAATTCAGTTTTAAATTTTCTCTTGAAAAAATAAATCTCCCGAATGTGTTGAGTTTTCTTGCAGAAATCGCCTAACCCCCCTCCATCCATTTTGTACAATCACCGGGCGTGGAATATATGCGCCTCAAACAAACTTAGTTGACGTGTAAGTATATTTATGCGAAGTTTTACGTATGAGCAGTTTTATGGGATCAACATTTCAACCTCGACCTTGTATTTACAGCCCTCTAGAGTTTTGAGTCGAGTCGAATGTGTTAGTTTCACTTCTAATTGAATAATCGGCATGTGGAAACTGACAAGTAACGAATATCGTTGATTCTCCTGATATACATATATACATAAGACATGTTGAACTTATCAGTGGTGTATGTTTTGGAAATCACCATTAACAAGCTAACACTGAACATGTTGAAAGTTTTACTCAGCCCATAGGTCAATTATGGTAACAGAAAATATTTCGTTCTTGTAAAATAGACACACGAACGATACAAATGCTGGGATCGTCAGAGTTATTTTCTAGAATTGGAAGTGATGATGAATACACGGACACGTATTTACATTTTCCTGAAATAGATAGCATAAACGTTCATCGATTTCCAGAGACAAATCAGGAAAATATAATTCGAAATACCGTTTGATAAATGGACTAATTTGGGTGATATGCTTAATGTATATTTAATAACATAGGATTTATCCCGATAAATGGAAAACCTTCTCTATACATAGTACTTCAGCTGACTTTGATTTTAGTTCTTGATATTAGTTTTTGCGAGACAGTACTTGTTTGAATAAGCATTAATCTATGTAATTCTATTCTGACAATGATAACATTTGTGAACATATTTGGCTTATTTACGATTCGCTTTCTATCATTAATTAGAAATATATTATCATTCAGTGATTAATCATGTTGGCTAGTTGCATTGTCGTTCTATTTTCTTAAGTACAAAAGCCAAATTACCAATTGGCAATAAGAAAACGGCAACTCCACTTAGTAGCGAATCAAAACGATAAACGTATTATCATTAAGTGATTAATAATGTAGAATACATTCACATTTTTTATTCTCTTTACCAGTTCATATGGTTAAAATAACGAAATGATGTGAGTGATGTAGCGAATCAAAACGATAAACGTAATATCATTCAGTGATTAATAATGTAAAATACATTCACACTTTTTATTCTGGGAACCAGTTCATATGGTTAAAATAACGAAATTATATGAGTGATGTATCCACGTATCAAATAACTAGTATGTTCTATGTCATTTATCGGGCGAGGTTACATTGTAAAACTCAGCCAAACACGACAGTGAAGGCAATATTCTGAGGTTATGAAATGTAAATCTAAATAATTTCCCATTTGTAGCCCCTTGGAGACTTCCGGAATTGAACAAAGTATAGCGGACGTTGCGATCTTTCAACTTTAGTTCGTTGTTTTTCACCACTTTACGTGTATTGTTTTCATTCAGGGGGCGGTCTTATTTGAATGCATCATTTTTAGGTTTTTATGATTCAATAGATCAATTAGCAGACTAAAAAGACAATTTAGCGGTTTAGTTCGTTGCGTACTGGGCCTGTTAGGCACGATTGAACTGAACGAAATGCTAGGCGATTGCGGACTACATTTAAATTAAATGGATCGATTTGATTTTGGTCACCTCCGTATTCAGAGGGTGACCAGTATACAACATACAGCTATCAGGGGCGTAGCCAGCTCTCAGTCAGGGGGAGGTGCGATTGCAAAAAATCGGTTTTCAGTTAGGGGGATGCGATTGTTGCATAAACAAACCCAAAAAACCAAGTCTGATAATACATTTGCTAAAAATGATAAATTAAAAGCGTAATATTCATATCTTGTCACATGAATTTGCTGACTATAATTATTCATATGAGTTCGAATTTTAAGTTTTTACATGTATGCACTAATTGTAACACTATTTTTTATTATAAAACACTAGCCTATTTAGGTAGCTAGCTATGGACCATGAACAAACCAAATGAATCGTACGCTCACTGCATGCACGAGACGAGGCAATGAGACAACTTCAGGAATGCAGGGGTGACAAATTTAGAAAATGCGTGAAAAAATGTTGAGATAAAAGCATAGCGATAAAGGTATCACCTTAGTAGCATATGCTGTTTATATATCCACATCAATATTATTTAAAGGATCATCCGTTTAGATTATTAATCTTTGTTAGAATTCAAAGGCCATATTGACTTACCAGGTAATATGTTTTCAACAATTATGACTTATAGTTACTTTGTTAACATTTACATGTCTATTTGATAATCATATTTAATAGGTAATAATTAACTATTAACGTCATTATCTTACACTGTAACAATAGTTAAGAACAATGTTATTATACTAAAGCAAATACAACATGAAAATAGTATTGTTATTGAATTAGCAGTTATGTCCCTATCATTGAATATATGCCTGAGGTCTGTCACCAATATAGCCCGAGCTTGCGAGGGTTATATTACGACAGACCGAAGGCATATATTCAATGATACGGACATAACTGTTGTATTACATACTTTTATATCATGGCTACGTTATATCAATGACGCCACGTGTCTGTGTGCGAGTGAAATTAAGAAGAAATGAAACATGACGTCCCAATGACGTCATAAGATTGTCATGGTAAAAGGTTTGGCGGCTATACAGGAATATATAGCCGACCTTCAGCTCCATTGACTTCAATACAAATGCTTCGCTGGGTATGTAATACTGTTATATATAGTCTATGACGTACATTATGATCTCGCTATATTACTATATTTCAGCCTTTATTAACCACTTGCAATATGATTTGTTAAATATTAATAGTACAATAGCGTCATTTCGAAGGACAATATAGTGAAATATTTCACTGTATTACATACCTAGCGAAGCATTTGTATGGAAGTCAATGGGAAAGTTAGCGAGCTATATCCACCGATATTGCCCGATTACCCCGATATAGCCCGCTTACCTCGTTTTGATATTAGATTTCTTTAATAACCATGATAATATCATGACGTCACGTCATTGATACAAAGTAACCATGGGAACAAAGGCATGTAATACATCAGTTATGTCACTATGACGTGAAATATGCCTTCGTTCTTGCCCAAATATAGAGCCTCCCAAGGTCGGCCTATATTGGGAGAACTCAGGCATATTTCACGTCATAGTGACATAACCTCTAAATATTGCCCGCAGAAATGACGTTATTAGTAGAAAACAACGTTAATGAGCAGGACTGAAACAGCAAGAAAATCTTACGTAATGAACGATATCTAATTTCCCGGGGAAAATTGCCGGTCGTTAGATGCATTCTTGACCGGCTGTATTGACCGCCACTATGAGGTCACATATTGCTCAAGTCGATAAAGTAAAATGAATGCCTTCTAAACTAGCACTAAA